ATATATATTACCCTTAAATTGCAAAATATATTGATATAATATATTAATGGCCCGCCATCTGATGACGTAGGAAAAAAATGCCCCAAGGCCACGCCCACTTGCCGACCCCTGCTTTACATCACATCTACATGGCGTATTAACACATATCCATGTGCAAATGTGTGACCAGAACTTTGGTCCTCTTTGTTGTTTCACAGGGACCATTGCCAGGAGCGCAGAGACGGAGCCCAGTGAAGAGCAACATGAAGACGGTTCCTCTCGTGGAAATACATTTTTTTGTCTGTTCCTACATTAAACCCATTAAATCGTTTATTATGCTGTGTTTGGTGTTTGCAGTGAATATTAGTGACTATTAATGTAGTACTATAGTGATCTGAGTATTTTATTATATTTGTAATATATTTATATTTTCTACAAAACTGTTTGTTTTGGATCCCTGGGGTCAAAACCAGACCTGCTGGGGGGTGTCCCTACCATCCAGCAACATGCAACGGGCCCCTGAACTGGAAACCATCATGTTGTAGTGAAACATTATGTTGACAAATGTTTTTGAGAATACTAGAAAATTACAGCAGAGGATTATGGCCACTGCATAAAATTGATTTGAGAAAAAAAAGTCAGAATTCTGAGTTTAAGGTCAGAATTCAAATAAGTTTTATGCATATAGCCTATGTTGGCACACATACTTAACAGCCACACAGAGAGACTGTTTTCTCCACTTAAGTAATGAGTACTTTGCAGATGCCATAGTCACTCAGCAATTCTTTAAAAAATGACTTCTCAGTATTAATGAAATATCAACAATGGAGTTAGGTAATGTGAACGTATGACCAGGCCGCACTGTCATTCTGGCCTGGTTCTGTTATGTACCGACATCGTGAGAAATATTGCAAAATCCAGTGTCACGTGATATCATCACGCCCCTAGTGTTTATTTCTGCATATATGACACCAAGCTACAAGGTGCTACTTTTGACTCAAACAAAGATGGCCACCAGGAGTAAATATTCCACGTGCTATCTATGTTTTTGATTTGTAGTGGAGGTCTAACTTTATTCTGTAAAAGTGATCAAATCCTATTTCACTGTATGCTGAAGAAAGTGTTTGATGAAGGTGGGGACTAGGGGGTGTCAAAAACATTTTAAGTAAGTTATAGTAAATGTCATGAAGTAAATACACAGCTGGCAGCTTACTGTGACTTTCTGGCCAGACACCAGCAGTGATGCCACCAGCAATATTATTGTCATCATCGATTAATCTGCCAGTTGCCAAGTTTGCTTGAAAAATTATTAAAATGATTAATCAATTATCAAAATAGTTGCCTGTTAATTTTCAATTAAATGACTAATTTGTTGCAGCTTTAAATAAGTACAGTAAAATGCAGTTAAGAATGTTTATTATTTAGAGCAGTGATTTACATTACTGTCAGTTTAATTATTAAACAGTTTATTGTTTTAGATGGAAAGTGCGATACATGAGTGCAGATTTAAATCGCAATAGATGCAAATGTTATGTCATATTAAATTAACATTATTGTCACGTGGCAGAATTATGCAGTGACTGCTGGTAGGTAGTTTGTGTGAGCTGGCTACATTAATTACTAAGAGACATTCTCAGCTGTTTATTATGCTGTCTGTGCTTGGCCAAAGAAGATTTTGTCAAGACAGAAATACTAATTTTAATTATTTATATCAATGTTGAAAATATTAGTTGAAACGTTTTTTCCTGTTAAGCTAACAGCTAAGTGACTAGTTGTACTAGTAACACAACACTATGGGGCAATAATAGGAGAACCTCTAAACACATTGTATCATAGTTTGAGAAACTTTGGGACCCAGAGGGATGTAGTAAGATCATCCTATAAGTCCCCAGAGCTATAACATTAACTCTAAAACAGTAAAACAACCTCTGAGTCGTTATAGCAGGGAACACCCTGCAGCAGAGACTGATCCACCCAAAGGACAAAACACCCAGACATAAACAGAGTGATGTGGTGTATGCAATTAAGTGTAGTCAGAAGTGTAATGACTTGTACATTGGTGAAACTAAGCAGCCGCTGCACAAACGCATGGCCCAACACAGGAGGGTCTACCCCAGTGGGCCAGAGTCAGCAGTCCACCTCCATCTGAAGGACAAAGGACATTATTTCAAGGACAGTGACATCCAGATCCTCTCCTGAGAACATCGCTGGTTTGAGAGAGGAAACAAGGAAGCTATTTTTGTCCAAATAAAACACCCCTCACTAAATAGGGGTGGTAGACTAAGACACAACCTGTCATCCATCTAAAACTCTATTTTGAGATCTTTGCCCATACATGCCCACCAGGACAATAGGCGTTGGTCAACAGGTGAGGGTTCAAAGACGGGACACTGGGCTATGACGACTCAGTCATTAGGGGACATTGTTGGCCTTCAAAGGACTGAAACACCACCGAGGGGGGCCAGTCAGGCAGAGCTGATGCAGCCTCTCGGATGAGAGGTGAAACGTCTTTGACCTCAAAAACCTAGTCCAGTTGAAGCGTTTTCAGCTTACTATGACCTGGATGACTGAGAATCTGCACAGACCCAGCAGTGCAAATGACCAACAGCAGCAGATATGATGTGATATAAGAAAATACACAAGAAAATAACTTCCGGCGCCGAGAGTGATGGTGTCCGTGGTTACTCGTGCTCTCTTGTGTTTGTTGTTTTTCTTTGTTTTCTTGGTCTTGTGCAACTCATCCCGGATTACTTTTACCAGAGAAGAACTGTTAAATATCGGACAACTCACACCAAACTACCTTCCTCCAATTTTTGTGAATGAAGAATGCTGTATGGACATTCTGATCGGAGTGTGTGCTGATCAGCTGGCCCCCATCTTCACACTTATCTTCAACAGGTCACTGGAGCTGTGTGAGGTCCCCTCCTGCTTCAAACACTCCACCATCAATCCAGTCCCCAAGAAAACCCCCATCAGTGGACTGAATGACTACAGACCTGTCACCCTGACATCTGTAGTTATGAAGTCCTTTGAAAGACTGGTGTTGGCCCACCTGAAGGACATCATAGACCCCCTGCTAGACCCCCCGCAGTTTGCCTACCGGGCAAACAGGTCAGTGGATGATGCAGTGAACATGGCACTGCATTACATCCTGCAACACCTTGACTCCCCAGGGACGTATGCACAGGCCCTCTTTGTGGACTTCAGGTAGGCATTCAACACCATCATCCCGGACATCCTCCACTCCAAACTGACCCAATCACAATGGTGTAGTCATGGTGGACAGCGTCACAGTGCTAGGTGCCCAGAAGCCGCTGCTTCGCCAAGGCGCACCTCACCACCAGACTCCACTCCATATCTCCTCCTCCTCCTGCTGCATCCGTTGAGCAAGCCACTCCATGACGTGCTCGAAATGGGAGACGAGCAGCCTGCTACTGGACAAATCCTCCTGCCGAGCCCCCCGCAAACAATGGCGGCAATGACGGGATGCGGGGAATGTGTGTAACTCTGCTGCTGAACACAACGGAACTTTTCAGGGCCACCACCAGATTCATAAAGAGCAGTTTTCTGACAGTTGTTTTACCTAGCTCTCTGGGTGTTCACTGTCTTCACACAAACACGTCTCCCCACTGCGCAGGTCTCCCCTCGCACACACTGTGCCACGGCATGTGCTTAACATTAACTTTTCTCTACTGCAAAACTTTGTTGTTTCTCCTAATACATTTGTCCCCACAACAAACTACTTAGCAGCCCTGCCTCCATCCCTTTGTGGTCTCCCCACCCTTTTCTGTCTGTGAGTGGCGGCTTTTCTCCCGCACAAGAGGTGAGTGAGGAAGCTTAACATGGGGTGCTTAACATGCTTCTCCTCAGCCCTTTCATTACCGCCCTCCCATGGGTTGCGCAGAGCAAACACTTGTCTCTTACAGTGGCAGAGATGGCACACCTATGGCTGGGGGCGATTACCGCCCTCCCATGGGTTGCGCAGAGCAAACACTTGTCTCTTACAGTGGCAGAGATGGCACACCTATGGCTGGGGGCGATGTTTGCAAATGCACTGCGAAGAACACTTGTCCACTAACAGAATGTTACTCAGTGTGAAACGAGCGGCTGTCCATGAATGACTGGATGGACAAACTGATTTCAACCAGCTACATTCTGCAATTCTCCAGGCACCCTGCTGCTTTCAGCGGCATGCTGGAAACAGTCATAACTTGACCTGCTGACCCCGCACTGACTGCAGAGTTGCAGATGCTGTTAAGCAAATGAGTGATCTCCATGGTGCCGCCAGGCCAAGAGTGCAGAGGGGTTTTACTTGCGCTACTTCCAGGTTCCCAAAAACTTGGGTGACAAGAGACCTATACTTGATCTGTCTCTCTTCAACAAATACATAATGTAGAGACTATTTAACATGCTCACCACAAAGCAAGTGCTGGATTGTGTGTGTCCTGGTGATTGGTTTAGTTCCATCGATCTGAGAGACACAGGGAAGTCCTGCTTTTCTCCTTCGAAAGTGTACATTTACATTTCCAGTACAACAGGCTGCCCTTAAGTTGGCCCCTGTAGACAATCTGAATCTGATGCCTCCTGCAGCGCATTGTTCCCTGCCCGAAGGCAACAGCTTTGTTTGTTATGTGTTTAATGGGCACAATGTCAGCCAGTCATCTCATGGTTCCCCTCAGTCTTCTTCACATGACGAAGCTCCAGAGGTGGATCAGTCATCTTAGCCTTGACCTGGTCCATCACAAGAGGCACATGGTCACAGTTCCCCCCCTCGATCCAATCAGATCTGGCATACTGGGGAACTCCTAGTGTGCTAGCAGTGGCAGTTCCCCTGAGCAGACCTATGTCACACATCTGGCTGTTCACAGATGCATGTCTGCTCAGCTGTGTCTGTCACAGGCGGTGGTAGGACAGTCTAATCACACCCCGTCTCTCCACATCAACTGTCTGGAACTGACCACAGTTCTAAAAGTTTTAAAACATTTTGCACCGATGCTAAGAGGCAAATGCATAGTGGTGCAATTGGACAACACAACAGCTGTCACATACATCAGCCAGCAAGGCGATGTTCGTTCTGCCTGGCTACTGGAGATTGCACCAGATCTTCTGCTCTGGGCTCATCAGAACCTGCTCTCCCTCAGAGCCGTACATGTCCCTGGTGAGCAGAACTGTCCCGCGGATCTCATGTCATGGGGTGGACCTCAGTCCAGCGAATGGAGACTGAATCCATCCCTCGTTCAGACGTTGTGGGACAGCTTTGATCGAGCTATGGCAGACATCAGCATTCAGGAATGCGCAGTGCAATCTCTGCTTCTCAATGAACACCAAAGACAAACATCCACTAGGGATAGACGCCTTTGCTCACCACCCCTAGCCAAGAGGCTTTCTTTACGCATTCCCCCCTGTCCCACGAATCCCACGACTCTTCTTAGCGTTCAGTACGAACGGTTTGTTAGAAATTAATAAATCAGTCAGATAATTATTAGACTTTAATGTGTTAGACTTCAATGTGTTAGTAATATAGTTTAGTAAGATTCAAAGTCTGCTCTAGTCTGCTCTGTTTCAAGGTTAGCAGTAAGCCATGACACCAATTGTTTTCTTGTTTTAATCTTGTGTAAGAATTATGTCTGAATGGATGTTTTAGTTACACATCACGCATACAACATACACACACTCTGAACTACCTCATTTTGTTATGACTAGGTAATACGCAGCTGCTCCAAGCATGTGGAGCTCTAGATAAGAGATGGAATCTGCAGGACAGACTTCATCTGTGTAAGGGGTTAGCCCGAAACTGATAAATGTATTAGGCTCTGTGTTTCCGGGTGCTTTTTTCCCTGCTCTCTTCTCCAGCGGCTTGTCTGAAGGAGGGAGCTCTGGGTTGTGTTCTGTAATCCTTTTATATATATATGTTTTTTGTAAATAAACCAACACTAAAATCAAGAAAGTGTTGGACTCAACCAGTCCTGCATGTTCTTTTATGAAGAATGCTCAAAGTCAAATCTGTCTTCAAGATATTTATTACAATATTTAAGAAAAGTAATACAGAGCTCTGGGTTCCGTCTATCTGAAGCCCCTATCCACACTTCAGAAGTATGGTTCGCAGCCTCTTCAGGAAGCCGGAACCCCTACTCTCCTCACCACAGAGAATTTATAATACAGTCATGAATATGCAAATGACGGTAGATCTGACGTTATCCGTCTTGTCCTTCATCCTCGTTCCTTGGTTGGTTTGTTGACCTC